CCCTATGGAGCTCCTCCGAAGGTCCCAGTGGCGCAGCCCGCATGCGTCCGCCACACCCGGTACAGCGCTTTGTGGCCCCATGGGGAGCTCCACCGAAGGCCCCAGTGGCGCACCCCGCATGCGTCTCCCACACCAAGTACACCGATCGTGGCCACATAGGGAGCTCCACCGAAGGTTCCACTAGCGCACCCCGCATGAGTCCCTCCCACCCAATACAGCATTTCGTGGCCCCATAGGGAGCTCCACCGAAGGTCTCAATTGCGCAGCCCGCATGCGTCTCACCCACCGAGTACTTCGCTTTGTGGCCTTATAGGGAGCTCCGACGAAGGTCCAGTGGCGCAGCCCGCATGCGTCTCCCCCACCAGTGCAGCGCTTCGTGGCCCCGTAGGGAGCTCCACCGAAGGTTCCAGTGGCGCATGCGTCTCCCCCACCCAGTACATTGTTTCGTGGCCCTACAAGGAGAGAGCTCCAGGACGGCCCACGAAGTGCCCAAGACGGCCGCAAATGTGGGCCCGGGGCCCTCGGGCAGCCCCGCCAAGGAGGCTTCAGAAGCCCCCAAGACACCCCAAGCGACCCCCAATTGGGCCCCAAAGAGAGCCCCAAGGGGCCAAAATAGCCCCATTCCCTTTGTAAAACGTATATGTCTTTGTAAAACGTATATGTTTAACATATTGCTTGTTTTCGCTGTCGGTCCGGCCCAGGACGCGCCCCAGAGGGACCCAATACAGCCCCAGAGAGCTCCAGGACGGCCCACGAAAGGCCCAAGACGGCCGCAAATGTGGGCCCCGGGGCCCTCGGAAGCCCCGGGGCCTCACAGAAGACCGCCAGAAGGCGCCAAGGAGGCCCCCAGAGGATATATGTGGATGCATGAATACCAGGTCCCCAGCCCGGGGGCCCCGCCCACCTCAAAACCCTTGGGCCCTCCTTTTTCAATACCCCCGCCCTGGCGCCTCCAAGGGGCCTCCAGACGGCCCAGGAGGCCTCCAGAAGGCCTCCAAGACGGCCTCAGGAAGCACCCAAGATGTCCATGAGGGCTCCGAGACGCCACAAGATCGGTCCAATACAGTCAAGATAGTCCCTACACGGCCCAAGAGGCTTCCAAGACACCCCAAAAGGCCTCCAAGAGGCTTTTTCAAGAGGGCCACAAGAGGCTAACAATTGTTGTTTTTCAAGGGTTTGGTGGGAGGATGTTTTGTGGTTCTCACCTTTGCGGCTTCCTGGCGCTCCAAGATAGCCAAAGAGATTCCCGAGATCGCCCAAAGACGGCCCAAGAGGCTCCCAAGACGGCCCCAAGACAGCCCAAGAGGGACCCAAGCAGCCCAAGAGGCCTCCAAGACGGTCCAAGATAGCCCCAAGACGGCTCTAAGAAGGGACCCAGACAGGGAATCCGAACGGACTGTTCGAGCCTTCGGCCCCAGAAAGCTCCCAGGAGACTCCAAGAAGCGCCCCGGAGGCCCCCAAGACGCCGCCAGAAGCCCCCGAAGGGCTCCCAAGATGCATGTCACGGGTGCGCGACAAACAGATGCCATGGGCCATGCTGGTGGTCTCTCCCCCTGTGCTGGTCTCGCGGGAGACGCTGCAGGATCATATGTTCCCTTGGTTCATCGTCAGGCTTCGAGCCTCCATTAGGATACGCTTCTTCGCCGTCTTCGGCCCCGGGTGGGCGCCGTGCCTTGTGGAGGCTATTTTCCACCATCGCGGGCCCCGGCGATGAGGAGGAGGAGGAGGAGGAGGAGGAGGAGGAGGAGGAGGAGGAGAGGAGGACGACGACGACGAGGAGAAGATGGAGTGGTTTTCGGAAGCCTGTTGAGGGTTCGGAAGTCATCGTGGCTTACCACCAGCTCCCAGAGATCGGTCTTGCCTTGCTCTACCCCGATGCCATTGCATTCCCCGTGGGATCTGCTTCTCCCCTGACCGTGGTAGTACAAATATTAGGTGGGAAATTCACAGGTTCATGACGCGTCCTTCAGGATGCACACGATCCCTGCTTCTGACTCGCTTCCTCCTGCTCCCTCCTTCTCCTGCTGCTCCTTCCTCCCACCCTCCCTCCCTCCCGGGGCTGCGTTCCCCCCGCCCCGGCCCGACCGGGGCCGCATTCGCATCTTCCTGGAGTAGTTTTTTGCCCCGGTTCCTGTTTCTCGACGGCCCCTGGGGCCGAAACCGGCTCCCCCAAAATGAAAGGCAGGAGAGGCCCCGAGGGAACGCCGTCGGCGTCGCGTCGGGCCCGCCGCGCCGCCCTCGAGGGTGGGCGCCTCCCGTCCGGAGGCCGTTGAGGCCCGGGGCAGAGTGCAGGACCCAGTCCCTCTCGCTCGGGGAAGGAGAAGCGACACCACCACCACCACCACCACCACCACCACCACCACCACCACCACCACCACCACCACCACCACCACCACCACCACCACCAGGGGAGCCACCTTCATCGAGAAGGTCCGCGATGCCCCTTCAAGCTGGAGGTTGGGGATGTCTCGAGCGGGGAGGTGTGGCCACACCACCAGGGGGCATCCCCTGGCTCCTCGCCCTGGTGGTGGTGGTGGTGTCGCTTTTCTTTGCTCCCACCTCGCGTCGGGACGAAAAAACACGACGGGAAGCTTTTGCACAAGTTCCAGCCTCCAGGGGGCCCTTGCGGGGCCCCTGGACCGTAAGACACAAGGCGGGATGAACAGGCGGCCCCGGGAAGTCGTCTGGATATGCTGGGCCCACGTTGTGAACACATCCCGGCGTCGAGTGTTTTGCGAGGTGGAGGAGGGGGATGAGGAAGAGGGATAAGGAGGAGGAGGAGGAGGAGGAGGAGGACGAGGAGCAGGCGGAGATGGAATGAGAGGAGGAGGAAGAAGAGAGGGAGGAAGAGGAAAAGGAGGAGGAGGAGGAGGAGGAGGAGGGAGGCGGGAGGAGGAGGGATATGAGGGGGAGGGAGGATGATGATGAGGATGAGTAGGAGAAGGAGGATGATGAAGATGAGGAGGAGGAGGACAAGGAAGAGGAGGAGGAGGAGGAGGAGGAGGAGGAGGAGGAGGAGGAGGAGGAGGAGGAGGAGGGGAAAAGCAGGAGGATGGGGAGGAGGGGGGGGGATAATAATGGGGAGGAGGACGGATGGAAGGAGGGAGGAGGAGCCTGTCAGAGGAACGAGGAAACGAAAGGAGGAGCGGCGGAGGCGGAGGAGGAGAAGGAGGAGGACGACGACGAGTCGGAGGATGCGGAAGGGGAGAGGGGGGGGGGAGGAAAGAGGGGGAGGAGGAGGGGGGGAGGGGGAGGAGGGGAAGGAAAAGGACGGGGGGAGGAGGGGAAGGAGAAGGAGGGGGAGGAGAAGGAGGAGGAGGGGGAGGAGGAGGAGGAGGAGGGGGAGGAGGACAAGGAAGAGGAGGAGGAGGAGGTGGAGGAGGAGGAGGAGGAGGAGGAGGGGGAGGGGGGAGGGAAGGAGGGGGAGGGGGAGGAGGGGGCGGAGAGGCAGGAGGAGGCAGAGGGGGAGGAGGAGGACGGGGAGGAGGTTGGTTTTCTGGGCTAACGCCACATACTTGGACCTGTGCCTGGTCATACCGTGTTCGGAGCTGTTCCGTGGCCACGGCTAGAACCTAAGCGCGCGCGAAGCGCGCGCGTGGTTCTAGTATATATATATATATATATATACAAGATCTTGTTGGCTCGCTTCGCTTCGCCACAACATCTTGTCCCTCATCCTCATCCTTGGCGCAGGAGCGCTGGTCTGGTATCCCGCCGCGCTTTCTGGTCACAGAATGTGGCGAGCTCGTGAACTTCCATTGCCATGTGGGTGTAAATTTGATGTGTGTCGCGAGCTCAGCGGCTATGGGGGATGAAGCATGATGTTATTGCAGCACCGATTCGGAGGACAATGGGTTGGTGGCCGTGCCTGTGGTCGCGCTGGCGCTCGTGTTGGACACCGTGCCGGCGGGCGTGCTGGTGGCCATGCTGCTCGTTATGGTGGCGGTCGTGCGGGGGATGGTGCTTGTGGGCGGTGGTGCTAGTGGGCGGTGGTGCTGGCGGTCACGCTGGCGGCGTGCTTGTTGTCGTGCTGGTGGTCGTGGGGCCAACGTGGGCGTGGGTTTTCATCAGGAGTGAGCATGTACGGCAGCCCACAGCCACCCGACGGGCCCAAACAATTTTTGGTTCACGTCGACGGCTGTTTTTTCGCACCGGGCCTCCTGGCGTCTGGCGCCCTCCGGGCACGCCGGCGCCCTCAGGGCTGCGTGGGTGTGTGTTTTCGTAAGGCGTGAACATGTCCGGAAGCGCAGAGCCACCCGACGTGCCGAATCAATTTTTGCTTCACGTCGACGGGCATTATTTTCTTCGGGGCCTCGGATGGGGGGCTTCTGGCGCCCTCCGGGCACGCGGGCGCCGAGGGGCTGCCGTGTGTGTGTGGTGTGTGTGCGTGTGTGTATGTATGTATGTATGTATGTGTGTGTCTGTTCGTGCGCGTGGGTGTGTGTATGTGTGTTTGTCTGTTTGTGTGTTTGTGCGTTCGTGTGTGTGCGTGTGTTTTCGTACGGAATCAGCATGTGCGCGGGCGCAAAACCACCCGACGGGTTGAACCAACCAATTTTTGGTTTACGTCGACGGCTGCTTTTTCTTTTTCGGGCCCCAGATGGGGGCTTCTGGCGTTTCGGGCACGCCGTGCCGAGAGGCTGTCGTGGCTGTGGGTTTTCGTAAGGAAGAAGCATGTCCTGGGGCGCGGAGCCACCCCACGCGCTGAACAAATTTTGGTTTACGTCGACGGCTGCTTTGTCTGTTCGGCCCCAAGATGGGGTGCGTCTGGCGCTCTCCGGGCACGCTGGCGCCGAGGGGCCGTCGAGGGTGTGAGTTTTCCTAAGGATGGAGCATATCCCGGGGCGCGGAGCCACCCCTCGGGCGAAGCCAATTTTGGTTCACGCCGACGGCTTCGTTTTTGAGAGCGGGACCGGCCGGCCGGCCAACGCGCGGAGTTTTTTTCCGAACGTGGGCGTCGCGCGTCCCCCCGCGCGGCGCAGCGCTATTCGCGTGGGCACCTAATTGGGCGTCGGCGTGTACGTCGCGGCGGCCGTGGCCGCGGGGAAGGTCAGCCGGCAGATGAGTTTGCTGTATTCACACTTCTCCGTTTGCTCCGTGTAGTTCATGAAGCGCGGGGCGTGCTTCGTCCTCTTGCCGGCGGCGGCCTCGGCCAAATAATGGCCAGCCTGGGCTCCGGGGCCGGCGCGCGATGTGGCGGGGCGGGAGCCGGGCCCGAGGCCGTTCACCCATCCTGGCACCTGGGTCAAGTCAGCGGCCGCCTGCCGAGCCGAGAAGTATTCCCGGCCGCGCCCCCGACAATACTTTCGCATCTGCTTCGCTATCTCGTTCTCCAACGCCGCCCAGTCGGAGAACGGGCGGCGGGCGGCGCACGCAGCAGAGGCGGCCGACAGGCCGATGGCCAACTGCTTGTCCGAGAGGCCGGTCTGGCGGTAGGTCCGGAAGCCTCGCTTGGTGTGGGTTAAAGCAGCCCCGATGTCATCCAAGCTGGTGGTCCCGAGGTGCGCTGCGAGGCCCCGCGGGCTTTGGCGATACCGGACACCGATACATACTGCCGCCTGTGTGCTCGGATCCCTGACTCGCCGTAGAGCTCCCTGGATTTCCACGCTCACCCGGTCTTTGAAGCGGTCGGGGTTGCCGAAGCGCGTGGTGTTCATTATGCGGATGGCCTTGTCAATGTCTGCGGCCGCCAAGACCCGGGCAGGCAATGTGTTTCTGCGAAGTAGTGGTTTTGCTGCGCGTTGTTCTCGTCTCTCGTGGAGCTTCCTCAGCAGGTGCTGGAAGATGGGGAATGTGATGGTGGTGATCTTCCACGAGCGGTGGTTGTTTCGCAGGGCCCTGCACTTGCCGTTGTTGATGCCGTACCTCGCTTTAGTCGGCCCGGCGGCAGCACCACCAAGCCGACCCCCATAACGTATCTTCAATTTCTGGCCAGTATGGGTTGCATGTCAGAGTGATAAAGAAAGTGGGCGGGCCTTTACGACGCGCCAGTTCCAAGCAGTCGACTCGAAGACGTCTGAGGTGGCGCGGGGACCCCGGCACGCTCGAGGGCAAGAGCACGCGGGCCACAGCAGGAGCTGGGTCGGCGGCGTTCGCAATCATCTCGCAGACCTGACGTCTAGTGCCACGCAGTTTGGGCTGGTCACGGCGGAGGAGGCTCAGTCTTTCGTCCTCCATGCGACAGTACATATTAACGAGCCATTCGTTGAGCAATCGTCCGCAAGCGTGCATGTGAGACAACCGTAGCATGCATTGCCGGCACCACCACATTTGGCTGATGTGCGCGCCGTTGACCATCGCATCCGGGCTCCACCCACGCCCGCCGGATGGGAACCACAGTGGGCAGGACAGTGGCTCGTAGAAAGGGTGTAGTGGATGGAGATACTTGGGGGCGGTGGAGGAGTTCAGTCGGAACGTGACCGTGCGAGGTTGAGCGCGGCTGTCCGTGCGCGCGTCGACGATGGCGGCGAGCTCGTTGATGTCCTCGTCCCACTTCAGGTGCGCCGCTGCGTCGGGCCCAGGGCGACGTATAGTTCCGAGGCGTTTGATTTCATTCATGAACGGGTTGATGGGCAGTAGGAGGCGTTCCAGGCGACGGAGCAGCCCCACGTCTAACTGCAGGGTAGTGGCTTGTCGAGTGCGTTCTTGAGGGTCCACGACGAGATATCTCACAGCGGTGGTTTCGGCTGCCGTGAGCACTCGCCTGTACATCGCGCCGTGAATCCGGAGGTTGGAAGGGCGCATGTAGTTGCCGAATCGAAGTTCCTCCGTGCTTCCTGCGCTGTGGATCTCGTGAACAGCCAATGCGAATAAGTTGTTGTAGCGGCGACTTGCTGCCGTGAACCCTGTCAGACGAGGAGAATTGGTCGTGGGATCGTGTAGAAGATGGCCCGCGGCGTCGCGAGCGGGCCAAGTGGAGCGGAATATCTCCAGAAGGGCGGGCGCCGGAGGTGAGAAGAAGTGCTCGAATGTGATCGCCCACTTGCCGTTGCTGCAGCAAAACGCTGGCGTTTCGGTTGGAAAGAGGGAGGCCGCACAATGCGGGCAACTTCGGTTCATGTCTCCGACAGAGAACGGCACGTCTTGTAAGGGCGGTCGACCCACTACGCTGCATTCACGACAGACGCTGTCATGCGTCCTGTCGCGGTCGCAAGCGAAGGCTTCCCTTGGCAAGGAGAGCCCACAACGAACGCAAGTGACCTGTAGTCGGCGTCGGGACATGCCGGAAGTCTGCGGGGCAGCGGCGGTGCAAGTGATGCACGCGCGGGTGGCTCGGTGGCGTTGGCGGACTGCGAAGTGCAGCCGCGGGGCGTCCTGGTCGCAGCGCGTGCAATGTAACGTATCTGCGCTGGGGCGTCCGCGAGAGGCCGGCCTCTTGCGCGCGGCGGGGGAGTCGCCCGTCATGATCCCAATCGGCGCATGCCGAGGCGGAGCAGCAGCGGAATCCTGGAGCCAAGGGCCACGGGACATCGATAGAGCCTGGCGCGGCCGAGGTGTGTACGTCGTCGCTGTTAGTGCGGGCCTTGGCGTTTGGAGGCCTCGTGGGTGGCTTCTCGGCGATCTCCTGGAGGTCTCTTGAGGCCTTGGGGGCCTCTGGAGAGTATGTTCGGGGTATCCTGGAGCGGGAGGGCCGAAATGTCGGCTCGGATCCTGTCGCGGGGCCTTTCTTGGAGCCGTCTTGAGGGTCCCTGGAGCCGTCTTAGAAGCCTCTTGGGCCGTCTTGGGGCTGTCTTGGGGCCGTCTTGAAGGTGTCTTAAGCCGTCCGGGGGCAATCTTGGAGTCCCCATGCGGCCGTTTTGGAGAGGCGGGTGTGGCAAACGCGTAAATCCAAGAATCGTCGAAGACCATTGGAAATCAATGAATTTTGCCTGTTGGGGCTCTCTTGGGAAGGCTCTCGGAGGCCTCTTGGGGCGTCTTGGAGGCCTCGTGGGCCTTCGTAGGAGCAACTGGGGCATCATAGAGCGGAATGTGGGCCGGTCGGACCAGCTTGGGGGTAATTTCGGGCATTGTCGGAGCTGTCGTGAGCCCGTTCAGAGCTCTTCCGGGGGGGCGAATTAGGTGACGCCCATCCGGGGGGGGGGGGTCCTTTGTATTTTGATAGGGAAAAGGAATATGTGTGTGTGGGAGGGGACGATTGTGGTATCATGCGCGATCCTCCTCCTCCTCCTCCTCCTCCTCCTCCTCCTCCTCCACATCATCATCATCATCATCAGCAGCATCATCATCATCATCAAACTCCTCCTCCTCCTCCTCCTCCTCCTCATCATCATCGTCGTCATCAGCATCATCATCCCCCTCCTCATCATCATCATCAACATCCTCCTCATCCTCATCATCATCATCATCATCATCGTCATCGTCATCATCATCGTCATCATCATACTCATCATCATACTCATCATCATCGTCATCATCATCATCATCATCATCATCTTCATCGTCATCGTCATCGTCATCGTCGTCGTCATCATCATCATCGCTCTCATCATTATAAGCACCACCTTCATCATCAGCATTCACATCGACCACATCCTCACGTCCTCCTTGTCGTGGTCATCATCCTTCTGGCTCATCATCGACATCATCACCATCATCGCCGTCGTCATCATCAAAATTACCGGACTCGCAGACCGGCACTGAACCGTGGACCCGTTGACCGGTTGATCAGCTGACCAGCTGACGGGCTGACCGGTTGACCGGCTGACCGGTTGACCGGCGCGCGGAAAAATTGACCGGATGACCGGGTGACCGGGTGACCGGGTGACCGGGTGACCGGTTGACCGGCTGACCGGTTGACCGGCTGACCAGGTGACGGGGTGACCGGGTGACCGGGTGACCGGGTGACCGGGTGACCGGTTGACCGGCTGACCGGTTGACCGGGTGACCGGGTGACCGGGTGACCGGGTGACCGGGTGACTGGGTGACCGGGTGACCGGGTGACCGGGTGGGGTGACCCGGTAACCGGTTGACCGGTTGACCGGTTGACCGGCTGACCGGTTGACCGGCTGACCGGTTGACCGGCTGACCGGGTGAGCTGACCGGCTGACCGGCTGACCGGTTGACCGGCTGACCTGCTGACCGGCTGACCGGCTGACTGGCTGACCGGTTGACCGGCTGACCGGCTGACCGGGGCATGTATTCCACCATAATGCTTTGCTAGTGACTGCCTTTTTTTCTGGGTCCTATCGGGTTTGGCAGTCGCGGGGGCTCCTGGGATGTCACGACTGTTGGTTTCAGGGAGTCGTGACAAGGGACGGAGGTTCACAAGGAAGTGTGAGAGAGGCTTGGGTCCAGAAGAACTGCGCCATAATCGAATCGAAGGCATTGCGATTCCCGGACGGTTTTCCGTAGCCATTATGGCCCAACACAAGTAGGAGATAATATTCTCGGCCATTCCCCAGGAATCTCCCTGTTTGAGGGGGGGCCGATCGGCGAGATTTCTCGCTGCGGCGCTGCCTGAGCGCCTGAGCACCGCAGCCCGCTTTGCGACCGAGTCGACCAGGCTCGAAGTCCTGTGCGAAAACATGGTTGTCCTCTTCACAGTCGTCCTCCTCCGCTTCAGCCTAGGCCTCTTGGGGCGTCTTCGGCGCCTCTTGGGGCCTCTTGGGGACCTCTCGGGGGTATCTTAGGGGGCCTCTTGGAGGCCTCGCGGTGCCTCCTGCGGACCTTGGGGGCCATCTGGGGAATTCTTGGGGCCATCTGGTGGACCTCTGGGTGCCATCGTGGGGGGCTTGCATGAGCGCTGCCCCTCCTCCTGGTGTGACTCGTTCGGGCTCCTCGTGGTGTGAGTCGTTCGAGGCCCGCGTCGTGGTGTGAGTCGTTCGGGCTCCTCGTGGTGTGAGTCGTTCGGGCGCCTCGTCCTGGTGTGAGTCGTTCGGGCCCCTCCTTGTGGTGTGAGTCGTTCGGGTTCTTCGTGGTGTGAGTCGTTCGGGCCCCTCGTCCTGGTGTGAGTCGTTCGGGCTCCTCGTGGGGCTTCTTGGGGGCCTCTTGGAGCCTCTTGGGGCCTCTTGGGGGCCTCTTGGGGGCGTCTTGGGGGCCGCTTGGGGGCCTCTTGGGGCCTCTTGGGGGCCTCTTGGGGGCCTCTTGGGGGCTTCTTGGGGGCCTCTTGGGGCGTCTTGGGGGGCTCTTGGGGGCCTCTTGGAGGCCTCTTGGGAGCCTCCTGGGGGCCTCTTGGGGCCATCTTGGGGCCTCTGGCGACCTCCTCAGAAGCGCAAATGAGCGCTGCCCGCTGAGAAGGGCAAAATGCCCAAAACCTTCGTGGAATCAATGATTTTGCTATGAAGGAATTGGAGCGCCTGAGCACCGCAGCCTGCTCTGCGACCGAGTCCACCAGGCTCGAAGACCTGTGCGAAAACATGGTTGTCCTCTTCGCAGTCCTCTTCCTCCGCCTCTGCCTCGTTTGATTCGGTTCAGTCGTGTCCCTGGGATCACGTTTTTCGGGGGCCGTGGTTCCTTGGCCGGTTCCTGCGAGTTTGCTTTCGGTGGTTCCTCCGATCTCGGCTTTGCTAGTGACTGCCTTCTTTCTGGTTCCTATCGGGTTTGGCAGTCGCGGGGGTTCCTGGAATGTCACGACTGCTGGTTTCAGGGAGTCGTGACAAGGGGCGGAGGTTCACCAGGAAGTGTGAGAGAGGCTTGGGCCCAGAAGAACTGTGCCATAATCGAATCGAAAGCATTGCGATTCCCAGACGGTTTTCCGTAGCCATTATGGCCCAACACAAGTCGGAGATAATATTCTCGGCCATTCCCCAGGAATCTCCCTGTTTGAGGGGGGGGCGATCGGCGAGATTTCTCGCTGCTGCGCAGCACCGCAGCCCGCTTTGCGACCGAGTCGACCAGGCTCGAAGTCCTGTGCGAAAACATGGTTG